AATATCTTAACATCGAAATGATTTCTGGTCATGTTTAACTATTTTAATTGAAGCCTTTTTACTTGATCTAATACTTTTATGAGGATGACATAGTCCGCAATAAACTTGACAAACATTATCATCCATACTATATGTCGTAGTTTATAACAATAATTACTCATGAACCTCACACTACAAGGACAACATTCATTCAGATTCTGAGATTGCTCATTCTCTCGAAGCTTGGTGTACGCGAAGATATCGGGAAAGAAAGCGGTCTGTAATACCAGACACGCAAGTGGGGTATTTCGGTCCCCGTTCACCGAAAAGTGAGATTCTCCATTTGAAAGTCGGGTAAGGTCGACAAATATAGCCTCTGTTAAAGGCGTTACTCCGCCACCAAATTTATTCGCATAGACGAAATAAACTCGAACGCGTTTAGAAAAATGGTATAGGCCTAGGCCTATTAGGAAAGGCCGGGAAAACATACATTTTGTTGGTTTGACCGTTAAATATTTTTGAGGTATTAAAGCAAGAATAGAATGTTGTAAATATTGTTTTCGTTACATTTATTCTGTGCGTAATCTCAAGGTCTACTCAACTTTCTTTGCCTATTTCTTGCCCCCCCCCCAAACGGCAGATCAAGGATTTGAAAATAGGGAGTGGCCGGGGCTCAGACGTCAAATTTGAAATAGGGGGGGGGGTGGTTGTTTAGGCAGACGGCATATTTCTTGGAATTCGTTATAAAGACGGTATTTAAAAAAATGATGATTCTGGCAAGATAAGAATTGAATTTCATCAAACTTTTATTCGATTTAATATGATCTGTATACGTATAGGATACAATATTTATTTCCCCACAACACATCAAGCCGTGATGAATGAATGTCCATTGCATGTAACACGAAAGAAACGGAAACTCTCAAATCTACAATCCTTTAGAAAGATATTAATTAGCCGAGTAATTAGGGCATTACAAGACATCGAAGGACTTAATCTATTTTACAATAGTTGATGCAACCATAATGGAACATTATGCTTCTCGATACTGAGGATATGAAATTTCAGCACAAGTGTATTTGGTTTCAAAATTTTATAGCAGTTCGTTAAAGAAACATTTCGATGCTCACTTGTATAATAAATCTCTATGACAAGCTCATTTTTATCACGACAGTTAAACCTTTTCACTTTTTGATACTAAAGATAGTTGAAGAATTGCCTAATTGACTGCTCGGATGATTTTTTACCTTTCTCCGAAACCTCTTGGTTTTTTGCTCATGATTATAGCGCATTATTCTTTTTGAATTGCCTAATTGACTGCTCGGATGATTTTTTACCTTTCTCCGAAACCTCTTGGTTTTTTGCTCATGATTATAGCGCATTATTCTTTTTGTCACTGTATGTATTAATAAGCAAATACATATCTGCACAACGAACGTCTTTATGATTATGATGTCCTCGTTTCGTTGTATGTTATAAATTCAATATCATGACGAGAAGTGCGTCAAAAATATCTAAACATCGAAATGATTTCTGGTCATGTTTAACTATTTTAATTAAAGCCTTTTTACTTGATCTAATACTTTTATGAGGATGACATTGTCCGCAATAAACTTGACAAACATTATCATCCATACTATATGTCGTAGTTTATAACAATAATTACTCATGAACCTCACACTACAAGGACAACATTCATCCAGATTCTGAGATTGCTCATTCTCACGAAGCTTGGTGTACGCGAAGATATCGGGAAAGAAAGCGGTCTGTAATACCAGACACGCAAGTGGGGTATTTCGGTCCCCGTTCACCGAAAAGTGAGATTCTCCATTTGAAAGTCGGGTAAGGTCGACAAATATAGCCTCTGTTAAAGGCGTTACTCCACCACCCAATTCGGAACAGCTTGCCACATGCAGTATCGTGAATGCGCCCGGCACTCTGCGCGGCCGTTTTTCAGTGTATTTTCTTTTAGTGTTCTTAAAAATTCGCCGTGTCGTTTGATCAAAGAGGTACTGGGCAAGCTTGCCTATTAATGATTTGGTTCAATACATAAGCCATCTAACCTTTATGTTTTAAGGTAATGATTATATTTATGCAGAAAAACTAAAATACTTGTGACAGTGCGATTATTTCAAGTCGCCCTTTTTAGGTTATTATGCAGCAACATGACCAATCAAAGTTTGGTCCAGTTAACGCTTGTTGGTTGGTGGTTTTTTTTAAGTTTATTTGTCCAATTAACTTCTTTATCTTCTCAATGTTTCCTTTCCATCTTTCCTTTCCATCTTTCCTCATGTTTTTTGTTATTATCACCTTTATTCTATATACCTTTCGGCTAATATTATTCTTTATTTTTCTCCTTCTTTCAACATCTCTTTTCTAATTTTCATTATATATTTCTTTATTTTCTCCTAATTTTATCTTCTTTAGCCATCTTTCCTTATGCCCTTCTTTATTTTCTCCGTCTTTCTAATTTTCATCTTTCCTTATGTATTCCTCTATTTTCACCTTGTTTTATTCTCTCTATCTTTTCTCATGTATTTCTTTATGTCTAACCTTCATTATCTTCTGTTTCCATCTTTCCCTGTGTATTTCTTTTTAAACCTTCTTTTATCTTCCTTTTCCATCTTTCCTTATGTTATTCTTTATTTTCTCCTAATTTTATCTTTTTCATCTTTCCTTATGTATTCCTCTATTTTCACCTTGTTTTATTCTCTCTGTCTTTTCTCATGTATTTCTTTTTTTTCTAACCTTCTTTATCTTCTGTTCCATCTTTCCTTATGTATTTCTTTTTAAACTTTTTATCTTCCTTTTCCATCTTTCCTTATGCTATTCTTCATTTTCTCTTCCTTCTTTCCCTCCATTTCCATCTTTCCTTATTATCACCTGTCTTTCCTTATTTTATCCTCCCTTTATATTTTCCTTCTGCATTTTTCCATTGCCAAGCACATCAATGTTCTCTTCTATACATAAAAGAAACTTAAATAGCTAGTACTTGCTAAAAAAAACAATATGAAGTGAGACTTTAGACACACTGAATCCAGGCCTATTATAAATATAGGTGTAGGGGCTGCGATGAGAAGACTATGAATCTGGACTGGATATCAGATACCAGCTGGTAATCCCTTTATCAGTAACTAGGCTATGATTGACCGCTGTCTCTCTCCCCATGGACCCTACTGGTAATCCCTTTATCAGTGGTCAGTGCTCCTATCAGATTATGGTAGCTCCAGGAAAAGTGGTGAACTGGTGAGCAGAGCTCAAATGGGATGTTTTCCTAATGGTACTTTTCACGCACCAAAGTCCGGCTCATACGTAATACACAAAAATCCGGCTCGTATTGACTTTACACACTGGACTTAAGGGGGTGTTTTCAAAAGGAGGGAACATGCACACGCGTACCCTAAATAACACTGAGTGGGGGGGGGGGGGGGGGGGCATCAATCTTCCTCAAATGAGAGCTCTCAAATATTCATATAATGTACATGTACAATCTACATGAATCTTATTCAGATATACATGCATTGATGTACGTAATGTATAAGTTTGCGCTACACATGTACATGTACATGATGTACCTCCATAATAAACAATACAAACATTTGTATTTCACAACAAAAATCCTACATGTACATATACAGTCAAACCTGTCTATTAAGGTCATCCAATGGAAACAGAAAATGTGGCGACTGTAGACAGGTTGTCTTTCTAGACAGGTTCTACAACAAACAATTCTCTCAAGGGAGACAAAATGTATGGCCGCTGTTCACAGGTGGCCCCTGTAGACAGGTTCTACAACATACATCTCTGTCTCCAGTAAGAGACAAAAATGCATGGCCACTGTTGATAGGTGGCCTTTCTAGACAGGTTCTACAACATACATTTCTCTCTCAAGGGAGACAAAATGTATGGCCGCTGTTCACAGGTGGCCCCTGTAGACAGGTTCTACAACATACATCTCTGTCTCCAGTAAGAGACAAAAATGTATGGCCACTGTTGACAGGTGGCCCCTCTAGACAGGTTCTACAACATACATCTCTGTCTCTAGTAAGAGACAAAAACGCATGGCCACTGTTGACAGGTGGCCCCTCTAGACAGGTTCTACAACATACATCTCTGTCTCCAGTAAGAGACAAAAATGTATGGCCACTGTTGACAGGTGGCCCCTCTAGACAGGTTCTACAACATACATCTCTGTCTCTAGTAAGAGACAAAAATGCATGGCCACTGTTGACAGGTGGCCCCTCTAGACAGGTTCTACAACATACATCTCTGTCTCCAGTAAGAGACAAAAATGCATGGCCACTGTTGACAGGTGGCCCCTCTAGACAGGTTGTACAACATACATCTCTGTCTCCAGTAAGAGACAAAAATGCATGGCCACTGTTGACAGGTGGCCCCTCTAGACAGGTTCTACAACATACATCTCTGTCTCCAGTAAGAGACAAAAATGTATGGCCACTGTTGACAGGTGGCCTTTCTAGACAGGATCTACAACATACATCTCTGTCTCCAGTAAGAGACAAAAACGTATGGTCACTGTTAACAGGTGGCCCCTCTAGACAGGTTCTACAACATACATCTCTGTCTCAAGTAAGAGACAAAAATGTATGGCCACTGTTGACAGGTGGCCTTTCTAGACAGGTTCTACAACATACATCTCTGTCTCAAGTAAGAGACAAAAATGTATGGCCACTGTTGACAGGTGGCCCCTCTAGACAGGTTCTACAACATACATCTCTGTCTCCAGTAAGAGACAAAAATGTATGGCCACTGTTGACAGGTGGCCCCTCTAGACAGGTTCTACAACATACATCTCTGTCTCAAGTAAGAGACAAAAATGTATGGCCACTGTTGACAGGTGGCCCCTGTAGACAGGTTCTACAACATACATCTCTGTCTCAAGTAAGAGACAAAAATGTATGGCCACTGTTGACGGATGGCCTTTATAGACAGGTTCTACAACATACATTTCTCTCTCAAGGGAGACAAAATGCGCGGTAACTATAGACAGTTGGCCTTTATAGACAAGTGGCCACTAAGACAGGTTTGACTGCATCTCTATTAAAGAACATATATTTTTTATTCATCTCCAAAGCTTTCATCAGAAAGAGTGTGCCATCTCTCATACTTCTTGTCGATTCCTTTGAGAGTCTCAAACCAGTGACGTAGACGCTCACCCTTACTGGTGATCCCAAGTTGCACACCACCTGAAGGATACAAATTAATGATAACATACATTACACTAGCTGTCATTTTTTTTAATAGACATTTTTATCATGATTGCTTTTCTTTCATTTTTATTGAATAGACCAGTTCATGATTAGCACATGTCCCAAATGACCCCGAATATCAACAGATCTTCAAAAAATGAAGAGGTCCCACTTTGTACATTTTGAAACAATCTCTCCAACAGCGATGGAGGTGCTACATAAATAGCCTTTGTTTCCCCTTTTCAAAGAATACTTTCACCTGTGTATCATGGACTGCACTGCTTGTGCATAAAGTAACATAACTTTCATGAGCACGTACCCAGTATTTTGTCTCTGTGTATTTCACAATTTGGTAAAATCGGTCACTCAAAGATTTTTACTTTTTTGAGGCACTTCTTGATCATTTCGAAGCGCAATTTTTTTTTAGGGCTTCAATATCACACCATATCACAGACACTGATAACACGTAGGGCCGTGTATCTCAGATTTAACATTGTTAAACGATCCCTTTAACATAAATGTAATGTTTAAAAGAATTTAGTGATAATAGGCTAGTTTTGCATTTGTTGGAAAATACATAGTATTTGGCATATAAAAGAATAAAATTAAATTGAACTCCAACTTTTCCATAAAATCCAAATAAGAAATTAATTTTATTCAAAGTAACTTCATCCTCTGAAATGAAATGTTGGGCATCCGCAAAAAAACCTTTTTAATGATTGGGCAATTCCAAAATAAATGTTCTATAGATTCCTCTGAGTTATAACTTCATCTTACCAATATAATCATTTGCCTTGGCGATGTCTTTATCCCACACTGTGATCTCTAGAGTCTTCTTGGCCAACTCAGGGTGCTTCACCTCATAGTAGAATTCCTTCAAACAAATGAAAATAAAAATATTATAACTGTATCCACGGGTAGAACAAAGCAAAAATCTAACAATAATAGTTTGTCCCATACAATACCACTTAGCTTAAAGTCCTATCTGCACTCGTTTGGCCAGGGGGGATTAGACCACCCTATGTGGTCACTGGCAGGTGGTTATCTCATCAAATCAGCTCTCAATTAACTTAAGAAAAAGGGGACCATTTGGGATCAACAGGTACCGCTTAGGCATAGTTGGCTACAAGAAGTGCAGTCCCGCTTTAATACACAAACAGGAACTTCCAGGAGAAATAATCTATTTCTATATTCTCAAGGGATGACTATTAAAACGTTTCATACGTCTATGAGACAACATCGAAGGCATCACCAAGCCTGCAATTCGTCGACATATTGTAAGGTGTACCCTTATAAGAAAGTACCATGAAACTACCATGGTTTGATACCATGGTTCTCATGGTGGATGGTCATTTGGACAAAGAACCATAGTAACCATGGTACGGAGAACCATGGTAACACTAAACTATGGTACAGAGAAACGTGGTAACCATGTCCGTATGTTGTAAGGTGTGAAAGTAAATAATGATTTTCTTTTGATACCTCATTGAATTCAGGATTGAGGGTCCTCTTCTTGACTGCAGTCTTATGCTTGGTTCTCTTCCCTGCGTCTGGCTTCAGGTATCTGTCAAAACATCAAAATAAAGAATGAAACGTACAAAAGAATATTTTTACAAATACATAAAGAAGCAATGCATTTTCCAAAATGTGCAGATAGACAATTTCAAAAATCCCTTTAAAAGATTAAACAACAGAATATTATTACAGATAAATAAAGAAGCAGTACAATTTCCAAAATGTGTGGATCAACAATTTCCAAAATCCCTTTAAAACATTAAACAACAGAATATTATAACAGATAAATAAAGATCGAAGCAATACAATTTCCTAAGTGTGCAGATCAACAAGTCCAATATCCCTTAAAAAGATTGATCACTAGCCTAAACATGAAGATTATGAAATTAAAACAAGAAAGGCTAAACATTACAAAACTAAAGTCTACCAACTAAATTATCTTCAACCCCACATTTGTGATTGGACCAAAACAGGGGCACTTCCATCTCTATTACATTTACATGCAGATGTTGGTCTACATTTGTACATCATCTTCTTAGATTAAAAAAGGCTTTAAATCAATGTTGAGTGACACAAGTTAACAACCATTCTGGCTCTCAGGGGATATAACATGGTATAATTTGTAACTACCTAGATAAATTGCTTGTCACAAAGGTTTTTTTTTTAATGAAGAAACGGTCTAAATTTCAATACATTTTAGTTAAATAGTGCCCCATTTCACAAAACTTGTCGTGAGTGACAAATGACAGTTTTTGTTATAAGCTACTAAAATCCTTGCTTCTGATTGGTTATCAGCAGATTTGTCACTGATTTTTGTCATTTTTCATTGAAAAAAGGCATTGTGAAACGGGTCCCAGGTCGACATGTATTTTTTATTATGGCAATTAAAGTAAGAGGAATGAACGCTCACACTTTAACGTAAGGATCCGAGTAACCGTTGGAGTCCATGGCAGCTAGCCCCGCCCCTCGAATGATACTGACCACCAAGCATTGTCTGGTGCTGACGTACTTGAGACCAACCATCAGCTTGCCTCGCTCTCCAGCTAACTCATCATCCTTCTCCAACTAAACAGCACAATTTGGAGGAAAGGAATATGTGGCTTAAAAATTAATTATAACAATGATAAAAACAATAATGTCAGGCTTATATATGCACTTAATAAATAGCACAACAAAAATAAATATTTTATGCTACATTTAGAATACATGTAGCTACATCAGTTAGGAAAGTATGGAAATACATGAAGATTCTAATGCAATACTTAATTGAAAATAACTCAAAATTTCAGATTAAAGGAGAAAGTATAATGTGATGAAATAGTATCTTAATCAATAACATAATGTCAATTGAGGTTCAGTTGCAAAAAGGAAGGGATTCCTCTGGCCTTATCTAGAATCTATATATTGACAGCTTTGCAGGAAAATTAAAACAATTTGGCTAAGGGGTGATTCTGCACCATGATAAAGTTGACAAGGTCAAAGAGCATAAATTTGCGAGTGACTTTCTATTGAATTATCACTTAAAGTGATAATGAACTGATAAACTTTCTGCCCGAGCGTACTGTTTATTGCACGGCACCATCTCATGCTCAACTTGCCGACAGTGCATATTGTTAACTCAATGCCTAATTTTCGCTTCACAGAGGGCTTAATGCCTGAACCAACAAGGCAGCAAGTTACGCGGCCATACTGCTACAGCTGACCCGAGATGGCACTAGAGGGGATTCACGGTAGTGCTTCTAGTACAATGCCGCTTCCAGAATCAAATCTATCCTGGGCATTTCATATTTATTTTTTTGTTTTTTTGATTGATTTTATTTCTGCGTTCAAAAATATACAAATTCAAATTCAAAGTACAACAATTTGAACAATAACAAATACAATGAATAAAGTGTGTACAAAAGTAATTAAATGGAAAATCATGTACAATTATATCATACGATAAACATGTACAAAGCATACAAATAAGATAAGAAATATGAAATATTTTCAATAAATTAGAGAAGTAATTTAGAACGCAGGAGACCACCATCGTGAGCGGTTAGGCTGGAGATGGATGGCGGCCTCATAAAAAAAGAATTGGTGACATAACTTGGGAACGTTAAGTCTAGCTGTCTTATATGATCAATGGATATACCACTCCGCCTGGAAATTTTATGTAGAATATTCTCCGGCATTGTAATACCAATGAGAGAGTATGAGAACTTACTGGAAGAGGTTTTTCTAGGTAGACACTGAGTGACTTGGTTTGGTATGGTGTTAGCTTTCTGAGCGGTAGTCTGTATTCTCCAATGAAATCATTGTGACCAAATCTATCCTCATCCAATACTGATAACCTGATAACAAAATACAACATTCATTTAAATCATATTACATTTACTTAAATTATACTTTGATATTGATTGACTTCAAGTTTGCCAATAGTTATAAATAGTTGGTATAATTAATACTTTTGTTTGTACCTGTACATGATCTTTATAAACATCTACATGTACATGAATAAGGCAAATATTTTAAATTAACAATGATAATAAAGATTTATTCTAATTGCTGTCTACAGCAATTACTTGGCTACTGTATACTTATTCAACTTTCTCTTATTTTTGTCCTATTTAAAACAATTCATACATATTGTATGCAATTCAATGATTTCATTTTTGTTTCTGGTCTTACAGTGAAATTCAATTCAGATTCTTCCCAAACATTCTGGTTAATCTACATCTTTTGGTTGATTGCCAGTATGTTCACAGAAACAACCTATGAATATACATTTACATATAATTGTACAAGACATTGAATAATTGAGAAAAAGGCCCTATATTTAACAAAAAATCCACACTACATGTATATCTCAGCTGGATGGGAAAGATAGGAAGTACAAAAAAGTGCACCATTTCTACAAATAAAGCATCTAACTTAATAACAATAATAATAATATGAAAAATGTTATATAGCGCTTGTGACATAAAAGCTTCAAAGCACTGTACACAAATCAAGATTACTTCAAGAAAATCAATATTACTAATGGAATTAACATTACTTAAATTATCAAGAAAATAAAATATTACTAACATAGCTTAACAAATAAACATTAATTTAACAACCTTCAAATATTTTTCTAGGAAAGTTATTATATTACCTGAGGATCTTTCTTGAGAGGTCATCCTCAGTGACCCCATAGTATGTCAGAGTTTCGTTGAAGTCTGGATTCAGGGTTTTGGCAACGGTCTTGGTTCGGAGCTTGGTAGACTAGATGTTAAATAGGACACAGATACAACAAATCATTATCATGGAAAGATATTGTTCCATGGAAATTTTTATATACACATGTACTTATATGACAATTGGTGTACCAAAGCTTATGAACAGGAGCTTGTGTTTAACAGAGTAAAATTCACTCATACATGTACATGTAGTTGCAAGTAAAGAAACTTTTGAATTACAGTACAGGGTACAACAATTTACATCGGACATGTACAATATATGTCAACAATTTGCATTCAATTATTGAATTACATTTTTAACAAAACTCTCTGAAAACAATTTATATATACATGTATCTGTGGCTAGGCAGGATCTACAAGCTGCATATATCATATAGGATCTTGAAATCAGTCGTCTATGATATTCAATCATCTCTGTCTGTGCAATTTTCTCTTTGATTTACTGGGTTATGAAGATTAATGATCCACTTAGCAACAAAAAAACAAAAGAAAGAAACAAATAATAACAATAATTAATTTTTAATGAACTCCAAACATCTCAAGCAAAACTGTTAGTATAACTAAAAAGAAAATGGGTGCTCACCAATGATTGAAGATAAGGTTAAATGATGAATCAAATTTAAAAAGAATTATTTAAGACCTTTTTAAGTCTGCTTGTTACCAATTTGAAAGAGGATTTAATTCATTTGTTCTTTTTGTTTTTATACTTCACTTCATCATGGCTGGAGAAAATCCTGGCCTTACATTTTTTATCTCTGTTTACCTTGGTTGCCCCAGGCAACAAATGTAGCTTTACGTAAGGATCTGATAGGCCGTTAGAGTCCATGGCTTTGAGACCACGTGCCTTGGTGACAGTGCAATGGAGTGCATTGTTAATACCATCATAGAGTACAGAGAACTCCAGAGTGCCCAGAGAACCTGGGGTTAGTCAAAGAGGGGATGGGAAAAGATAGATAGATAGAGAGAGGGAGGGAGGGAGGGAGGGAGAGAGAGAGAGAGAGGGGGGGCAGACAGAGAGATAGGGAGAGAGAGATTGCAATAGAGGGAGAGAAAGAGAGATAGAGATAGGGGAAGAGAGATAAGATAGAGAGGGAGCGAAGAAGGGGCGAGGGGGGAGAGAGATGCATATGCACACACACACAAAAGAGAGAATGACAGAATAAAGGGATGGATGATGACAGAGTAAGAGAAAGAGCAAGAGGTAGAGAGTGAGTGAGAGAATGACAGAGGCCAATGGATAGGAAAAGAGATAGCAAATGAGAGAGTGAGTGAGCAAGAGAATAGAGTTAAAGGAGAGGAGAGTGAGGAACAGAAAGGGAAAAAAGAAAGAAAAGAAATAGAGAGAATAACAGCACAGATAGAGAAGGCAAGATAGAGAGCGAGAGGAAAGAGAGAGAGAGAGAGAGAGACAGACAGACAGACAGAAAGAGAGACAGAAACAGAGAGACAGAGACAACATACAGACAAATAGAAAGGCAGATAGAGAGGGGAGATGGAATGGGTAAGAGATCAGGATAAATAATAAATAGAATGGTTAGTGCTAGCAATGAGATTTTAGTGATTAGTGGAAAGCCCCAAAAACCTTTCAACTACAACTTCTCAAATTAAAAATATCAGAATATATGACTGCCTTTCAATAATCAGACCATGAATCTGCATACATACCTATGCATGCCAAATACAGGAAAGATATGTTATTTATAGTTTAAAACATTTATAGTAGAGCTACAGAATAACATCTCTGGAGAGAATTCATCATTGAATTATTTTGAGATTTTGAGATGAAATACATATTCACTGAAATACTGGCTCATTATCAGAATTTGGAAGAACCGATCAATCATGCTTTCCATTCAGAAAAGTTTAATGTATAATGCAATTGCAATTACAAAATGAATAAATAAAGCACCTCATGCCTAGCAGAATGCTCAATAATTCAAGATCATGTATATTAATGAACATATGTAAAGGAAATCTGAAAATATCTGAGAAGATTGAAAATTTTGTTGAGAATATAAAAGTGATTTGGTTGATAATGCATGGATATTTCATTGGGAATAGAGGAATGATGTTTGGTTAAGAATGGATACTTTGTTAGGATGGATGTTTGGTTGAGAATTATATTTGTTTGACAGTGCAAATTTGAAATGGCATGATTTAAGGAGTCAAAATGATAGTTAAAATGCTTTCATCCAACCACCAAAAGTACATTGAAGAGATACATTAAAGCCCCAATGCACTACTTGTAGCTACTTGCACCCTCTATACAGCCAACAATGCCTAAGCGTACCTGTCCCCCATGATGCCCTTTTTCTTATGTTAATTGAGAGCTGATTTGATAAGATAACCATCTGCTAGTTACCTTGCAGGGAGGTCTAATCTCTCCTGGCCAAACTAGTGCAGAGGGGCTTTTAGATCTGTATTTCTCATGATTTTCATCAGAGAAATTTTCATTCATGTTTAGGAATGCTATACATACTGCCTTCATCCGGTGAGCTATCCATAGCATCGCCGACATACTCCTGGGGATCGTACCCGTTCCCCTCGCTGCCGCTACCACCACCACCACCACCGCTCATCATAACACCACCAGCCACCTGCAAGCCCGCCTTACCACCGTTACCATACCCTCCACCACCGGAGCCCCCGTAGTGACCTGCATACTGCCCCCCTCCACCACCTCCACCACCGGTATAACCATCATCCCCATCACCGCTTGCCACCCCTCCTCCGTACTGGCTAAAAGCGCGGTCCATGTCGTCATCGGCGTCGGCGAGGGAGTGTCGCGGGTTGCCTTCGTACCGGGAGCCGCCACGGGAAGAGGAGGTCTGGTGAGGGGCGGAGGAGCCACCACCACCGGTGGAACGAGTGGAGCTGGTACGGGAGAGCTCTGGATGGAGGATGATACCATGGACCATGAAAGAAATGGAAGGAAAGAGGATGGAATGGAATGAGATGAATATCAATTTAACCAGATTAGTATTAGTGATTCAATATGGTCATGAAATTAATAGTGGCAGATGATTTGAAAATAAATAGATAAATATATGTACATATACATGTATGACATAATTGCAAAGACCTTCAAAACACAACTCAAGGGCAACCTTTCTACGGTAATATGATGCCTATAGTATTCATGTTCCTTATGATCATTATGTACGCAGTATATGTCACTGTATACATTGTCTATTCCATTTGGTGATATATGATAGAGGCTTTTGAAACCATCCTAAGTTTAATTTTGAAAGTCTTGGTGATCATGAACTGCATATGGAAATTAAGAAAAAGATGTTTCTTGGGGTAATATATGAATATCTGTCAATCAACTCCCGTCTCGTTAGTGTTCGGTCTTTAAATAATGGATTATCATCCAATTCCGAAACTTGATATTCTAGACGTAAGTGCAACATGCATTACATCATTAAATCAAACATATCGGCTTGCCATACTTTCTTAACTGATGTAATTTAGTTGCTGTAGCTATTTAAAATGTTATATGAGATATAAGTTTGTTCTTTTGCTTAGCGCATATAGATGGCAACATATTATGCGCTATATAAAGCCTGACATCATTATTATTATTATCTCACTTTTGAGGTGCCTTTTTCATGCCACTAACTGCATGTTAACAAGTGAACACTCTATTATAGCCTTCATAGATGGATATCTTTCCTCTTAACACATCGCAAGCGATTTGAACCCTGGCAGAGAAGTTAATATCTAACATAGATCACTAACTCCAAATGGATGAAAACTGGGATTTAGAAGATGAAAAAAGGTTCTCTTAAAGTGGTAATAGAGAATCGTTTTTCATGAATTATCATTTTATTTAGAGAGTTAACTTCTTAAGAACTCCTTACAGATGACTTGAAATAAATATCTACATGCATGTGCATCCCTTTGCAACTCTTAGAAATTACCAATATTCAGACAAACTAAACCATGTTTAACTTACAATGCATGTCATGTTGTACATAAAATTGGTATCCCATTTGTAAATGTAGGCAAATAATTGAATAAAATAATAATAAAATGAAACTAAATTTGATCTTTGAATTTGAAAACACAGGCATGAATGAAAGTGTAGGTGAAAGGGAAATATGATTTCATGGACAATTAAATCATATCATGACTCCAAATCCCTTCTCTATTGTCACAATCTCCTAATCGATATGCCAGCCGTAGTTGTACATACGTGTACATTCATACAGAATGGCAAAGGATAATGTAACAGAATTGACCCCCCCCCCCCCCCAAAAAAAAAAAAAAAAAAAAAAAAAAAAATAATTAATTAATTAATAAATCAATAAATAAAATTTAAAAAAATAAATAAATAAATAAAAATTATAAAAAAATAAATTTAAAAAAAAAAATAAATAATAATAATAAATAAAGTTAATATTTAATTTTTTTTTTTTAAATGCATGACCGAGTTGTTACATGGGCAAAAGTGAAATATACAGATAATTGATTGAGGTCTGTTTCCATAGTAATGGATATGTGTTGTATTTAAAAGCAATGCTGTGTACAACCCATCACCAATATATATTTCAGTGGCAATTAATGCAAGAATGTGGTGTTGTTTGGTATGCATGGTGAAGTAAAATACAAAACAAAATGATTTTGCAGTAGATAAAACAGCCACAAAGTTATATGGCAATGGTATGGTGCTGTTGTTGTACCGTGCAAGCTGAGAATTGTTTGCAAGTATGGTGTAAAGGCAGAAAAATAATGAAATGTTGTGCTACAAAGTTCATCATGGCAGTGAGACGTGTACACAGCTGCAGTGAGAGTACCTCGGCCCAATCATGAGTGACACAATAAAGGGTGATAAAGGAATAAAAGTGCATCGAACCAGTGGAAATAAACTAGTCTTGACTTACTGTCCTTTCCAAGAGTAGCTGTTTAACGGAAAACAGATTGTATTTCAAATGTTGGTTGATAATGTGACTTACATATTCAGCACAGGAATGTAACTTTGATTTTTCTTATTCAACCAACCCTGCCTTCATTGTAAAATAAAACAGTCACTTAAAAGTACATGTAGAAGCGAGATATTACATGTCGGAGTCTGTTTTATCAAAAAAGTATCAGAAAAGACATTGTACAATTATGTTAAATTATTATATGTGATTATATTAGTATATTTTCATATTACTACATTACAATATTGTCATATCATTATCATAATTATCATTCTTATTATCATTATTACTACTATTGTTATTATTATCATGTTCATTTTCTTATTGTTGTTATTATTATTATTATCATTTGTATTATTAATATTATTAATATTATTATTATCATTATCATCATCATTGTCATTATCATTAGTATTATTATATCATTATCATTATCAATATTATTATAATCGTTATTACCACTGTGATCACAAATAACATTATCATACATTCATACATGCATCATTATGCTGTCATATCATTAACGTGTATCATTGTATATCATACACTAGCCAATCGACCTACTGACCTCCCGGTGTGCTCCTCTCGCTGTCCGAGTCATCGTGCCCTGCGTCCCCCACGCTGCTGTCGTTTGCGCTGCCGTACCATCCCCCGCTACCGACACTCGTCCTGCTACCGGCCATGTGATTGGACGAATAGAGGGTCCCAGGGTAATCGTTCTTGGATCCGCCGCCCAGGAGGTTTGCGCTGCTCAGCCCACTACTGGATATGCTTGTGTCGTCTTGGTCTGAGGACATGATGGAAATATGAATAATATAATTTAAACACATTTAATGGGATTGGGTATCTTTGTCTTAGATTCTGAAACAAAATCCTGGATTTAGCTCATGCTGCAATCACAATTATAAACCTTTAGGTCAGTCAGGAACCCCGTGACTTTTACAAGCCGATCGCCTGTCTGATTACCAAGATATTTATGATTGGAAATCAAAATCTTGTTTATGTTTTCCTAACGGTTTTTATAACACAACAGTCGATTGGGGAAAATGAGTATGGTAAACCGGTCACTCAAAGATTTTTACTTTTTTGAAGCACAATATCACACCATAACATGCATCTCAGATTTAACCTTGTTTAACGATGCCTTTAAAAGGTGCTGTTCAGTTTTTGTTAATGATGGAAAAATCAGTGCTCAAATTATGAAACGATGACAAGAAGCAAATGATACCTACCAAGTAAGTGGAGTAGACTAGACTTCAGCTTTAATAGTCTCGACTAAAATGACTGTGACGTCCAATATTTTTTACTGTTAACTTAAATTAAGCTAAGTTTATTTTTTTCTTTCACATCAATTAAAAAACATCAAAAAAAGTTACAAATGATTTACATCATGGTCATTAGAATTAGACAGATTATTTTCACAATATTAAACAGTAATCAAAGATTCATCTTTGTTCCATCAATAAATCATAATTTAATCTTTAAACCAATTAAATAATCGTTAGCCTAGCCTACCCTACGGACAATGCAAACTCCATGAATGTAGATCTTTTTGTTTTCTTTAAATGACTTTAATCTTCTCTCCTGCATGACTACAAAGCACATCCATGAGATGTACAAGAGGAAACCAAAACAACTTTGGGAATTCTCCTTAGGCCTGACAGATTAATTGGGTAACTAACCTCCGTCTCTCTTGGCTCTCCTCTTACGACCCAGACTGACGTCATCATCAGAGCTAGAAGCGTCTGAGCTCTCGCTGTCAGCTGCAAAGACAAACAAACGATCCATTTTAAGATCAAGGGACATTTGATACAGCTAGGCTGAAGGAAGAGTCATCTTGCATTTATTAGAAGATACAAGGGGGCATAGCTTACCCCCCCCCCCCCCCCCCCCCCACAAAACAAGTTTCCTGGAACAGTGCCAGGATTCATTATTGACAAAACTGTACCATGCAACCACTTTTACTGGGCATTACTAAGCCATAACAAAATATGCCTTCTTCATTGTGTTATTGCACTAGCCCCCCCCCCCTACACATACCATTTGTTTAGGTCCCAAAAGCACATTAAATTGTGATATCTTTTTTCTTCTTTTTGGTTGTCACACACTATTCCTGTTTTTTTGTATTAATGTCCTCCACTCCTCCCTAACAAAAATCCTTGACAAGTCTTGAGCTGGACATATTTCTGGTCTCAAGTAAGCGTATACTGAATAGCAATATTCACATCCGTATAAGTATATTGGTGGACATTATCATTAAAGGCTTTCTTTCCAATCTTCCACCCCCCCCCCCTGGTCCTGTTGATATTGTGCTATTCCATCCACATCATTACTCCTTCCACTCCTTCCAATCTCTCTCTCTCTCTCTCTCTTGCAATTTCAATTTTTCTTTATAAACATTTCTCCTGAAGCTGCCAGGACACCTGGGATGCACACAACAAAGCCCTTACCCCCATCCCCTACTCACACACATACACACCCACACCCACGCCCATATTTTAAACTGACCTAATTGCCTCCTTCTGGTAGGTGTGGCCTTGTTTCTCCTGTGATACACCTGCACATCTTACCACACCCTTATCCCAAACATTCTCTCACACACAATGCCCTTACCCCATCCCCTAATTACACACATACACACACCCCTACAGGGAAATGCTGTCAACCGTGGACCAAGTTTAGTACTTGTGTGTGTGTGCGTAGGTAATCACCAGCAACCGCGGACCACTCCATAGAAAACTACATCAAACCGCGGACGTACCTCCTATGGGATGATCCAGGTAGCGAGCGCCTCTCCCGCGCAGTCAAAAGGGGGCGCTGTGACTATTTCGCGATACACATCGGACTGATCGAGTCGATGTTGCCTACACGCTGTGACATCTAATATTCAAACGCCCTCTACGTCGTAAATTTGATACGGCGGAACCGGTATCGCAACCGTGGACGGTCCCCCATTGCAGGTACGTCCACGGTTTGAGGTAGTTTTCTATGGAGTGGTACGCGGTTGCTGGCGTTTTCCTACGCAATCCCTTTTTCTCATGGTGGGAATGGCCGTAATTGTTTTCCCTGAAGTTACTGGGATACACCTGTGATACACCTGCAAATCTTACCACACCCTTATCCCTAACATTCTCTCTCACACAAACACCTACACACACACTCTGACAAGACAAACCCCTGTGATAATCCCACCTTATCTCCTCCTGATGGGCATGACCTTCTTCCTCTTGAAGCTGCAGGAATACACCTCTGATACACACACGCCAAACTTACCTCACCCTTACCCTAATCATGCATACACACACACACCTGATAGTCCCTTTGATAAATTGACCTCACTTACTCCTGATGGGCGAGGCCTCATTTCTCCTGACACTGCTAGGAGGAGTTGAAGTCTAGTGGATGAGTCGTCAGACTGTGGATCACAGGGTCCGCGGTTCGAGTCCCGCCGCGGCACTAGTCCTCTGGCAAGATATTTATCTACATTTGCCACTCTCCACCCAGGTGTTAAATAGGTACCAGTAGGAAGCAATTCCTGGAATGCTGTGAGCGCCAAAATAGGCTGCCTAGCAGAGCCAGGGTAATAGCTGGAGCGCCTTGAGCACCATGCATGCATGGTGGATGCGTGCGCTATATAAATATCCAATATCATTATTATACACCTGCAAGACACATGCACACATTACCACACCCTTACCCCTAATATTCAAACATACACACCAGCACATATAACAGCCCTGGGTTACACCAACCTCGCCTACTCCTGATGGGCATGGCTTATGTCTCCTAATGTTCCCTGGTCCCCGCCTTTAACCCCTTCCCAAATCAACACACGCCCAAAGCCATCCATATACAGAGTATGGCCAACACGGTTCACGTTGGACACAACATATAAGAATTATACACCATGTTGTGACCCAGTGAAACCAAGTTGGCCAAACTTTGTGTATGATGGCTCAACACACGCCTATGATCAACTGACCTCGCCTTCTCCTGATGGGCTTGGCCTCGGTTCTCCTGAAGCTACCGGGGTACCTATTGTGATGCATCTCAGATTTTTTCTCGGGGACTGTGTACTTTGGTAGAGCCTTGAAGAACCAAGCTCCCGATCGCTTCCATAACTGCATGGACAAGGATTACGTAGAGAAGGCTCCATAAGTTTGTTAACCTACTGAAATGCAGCGTGCGTAACAACTGCACTGCTAAAGCCAGGGTAATTATACTGCATTATTGTAGAGCGCTTAGAGACTTCTGATAAAGTAAGTGTTAGGCGCTATATAAGCAAATATAATTATTATTATTACTGTATATGTACATGTACATCTACTTGATTCATTATGATAATTATAGATGGGCAAGTACAGAAATATACATGTATATGTATGAAATATTCCTGCTTTGATACATTAAATTTTCACATGTACATGTATCTTTACCAAGATGGTGATATTTTGACAACAGTAGAAGATACGTAGCAATGACATACAAAAGGAGTGCTTCCTCTTGTTCTCCAGTAATCTTTCTGTTTATACATGTACATGTACATCTCTCTTTCCCCCTCTCTCTTTCTCTCTCTCTCTCTCTCTCTCTCTCTATCTCCCTCGCTCTCTCTCTATCTCTCTCTCTCTCTCTCTCTCTCTCCAAGTTGACTCTTTCTTGCATTAAAAAAACACATCATATTGTGGGTTTCACATTGCAGATCTTCCAAAACAATGAAGCAGCATGTACCTTAAGTCGATTCATTTCTTACCTCTCTCGTCTCGCTACATAGTTTACAAAGCATGATTGGTTGTTTGATGCTGTTGGTTGTGTCTACACCACATTTGGAACATACAGCCTAGAAAGAACAAAGTCACACAGCATGAATGAGAAAGATGTTTAAAGACAACATAAAAATGAATATATGGGAATATTTCAAAATGCAATAGATTCTTATATAAATTCCCAGCTGCCTCACTGAGCTCAAGAGATTTCAATTGGAACAATTGTTCAACAATCTACTTCCAACTGATTGTATGTGTTTGTGAACTTTGATGTTCTGGAATAAATTATCAATAAAAGCTTATTTTTCCCATTTCCTAGCAATATTACAGAAGCTCGCCTTGTAATAAGTACTACAGGTCGAAGGTCATATTCAAGCTTAAACTTTTGGGAGACTGAACTCATCCCAAGAAGGTGTCACAAAGTGGTCCAGTTACCAGTAACCCTGCCTTACAGAAGTTACAGGAGGTCAAAGGTCACCCATAAACTTACCTTGTAACAATCATAGCAGGTCATAGGTCATATTTAAACTCACCTTGTAGCAATCATAACAGGTAAAAAAAAAAGTTATTCCTTATAGCGTACCTTGCAGCAATTATAGTAACTACAGATCAAAGGTCATTATCAACCCTGCCTGACAGAAGTTACAGGAGGTCAAAGGTCACCTTTAAACTAAAGCTTACCTTGTAACAATCGTAGCAGGTCATAGGTGAAGCTCCTAGGAGACCAAACTCATCCCCACAGAGGATACACTGAGTTGTCCCATTACCAATTATCAATAAAAGCTTATTTTTCCCATTTCCTAGCAATATTACAGAAGCTCGCCTTGTAATAAGTACTACAGGTCGAAGGTCATATTCAAGCTTAAACTTTTGGGAGACTGAACTCATCCCAAGGAGGTGTCACAAAGTGGTCCAGTTACCAGTAACCCTGCCTTACAGAAGTTACATGAGGTCAAAGGTCACCCATAAACTCACCTTGTAACAATCATAGCAGGTCAAAGGTCATATTTAAACTCACCTTGTAGCAATCATAACAGGTAAAAAAAAGTTATTCCTTATAGCATACCTTGCAGCAATTATAGTAACTACAGATCAAAGGTCATTATCAACCCTGCCTGACAGAAGTTACAGGAGGTCAAAGGTCACCTTTAAACTAAAGCTTACCTTGTAACAATCGTAGCAGGTCATAGGTGAAGCTCCTAGGAGACCAAACTCATCCCCACAGAGGATACACTGAGTTGTCCCATTACCAAGGGAGTTTTTCTTCATATTGTCTAGCTTATCCACCAGTCGCCTGCAGAAAAGAGAAAAGATTTTGAATAAAATGAAACTATTTAATTTAAAAGAATATCGGCAACAGTATTACATGCACACTCAAAGCTAAAATTGATCTCAATACCATAAATTCTTTACATCAGAAATATTCAGATGTAATATTTCATGTATTCTTTATTTTGAACTGCCAATTCTTGATGATATATAGAAGGGGTATAGAAAAATATCACCATTTATACTGTATGGAAATTAAAGTTTTATGAATACAAAAAATATATCGATCAATTTTACTTTTCAAATAAAATGATTTATAAAACAAAGTAAGCGCATAGAACATCATTAATTTTGTGTCTCGTAAAGACAAATACAATCACCCAAAGAAAAAGCAAAATGAGACGATGTTATTTTGTTTGAGACAAGTTTTGTCACATGAATAAAATGCAATCATATGAAGGACAAATGTAAAAGTGGTTCAAGATAATTGCCTGTCTAGACACTTCCTATGCACGTACCGTATTGAAACAAAAATCCCATTTGTAACAGAGACACACCATGAATAACCGGATGTCTAGATATGAATGGCCTTCACACTGCAGTAATGTGGTCCTGCATGTGTAAACATAGCTCATATCCTCCTTGTTTTCACAAAGTGATGGTAGCGAGGAAAATCGTAACGCAAAGTAAATGCAATTTTTTTTCACTACCGTCACTTCGTGAAAACAGCGACGATATCATGTAGCCTTGCCAGAACAGCCCACGGCCTTGATGGATGATGAATTTGATTTATCATTGTGTAACAAAACCACTCAGCCAGGACTTGTTTCAATTATTCCTCAGCAAAAGCCACTTTTACCGATGGACATGAATGTCACCAAGATGGCAAGCATAAATCATCCGTTTAATTACATGAATTTCATTAACTCTTACACTGCCATGAGACTGCTAGCGCGCTATTGTTATAGTGCCATGTGCATGCGAGCGTGCTATCGATTGAAAGCCACGTTCATGCTATAGCGAGCCACCGCTACGGTGCTTTGTGCGCGCTAGCGCGCAGATGTAATAACAGTTACTGTTCATGCCCATTGCACCGTGTTGAGTGCTTTTGCAGCGCTATTGAAAGTACCGTCGCGTGCATCAGATTATCGGCTTTGGATTACGCGTCTTTGTATACAACAGTCAGATTGGATTTTCTCGAGTAATTTAGAGATTTGTTTTTGATATCATATATCATCATTATGCCTCTCCATCGCATTGGATTGGTTCGACAACTCACTGATAGTGCTTATTTACTTCAGCAAAATTACAAATTCATGAAAATGATATTGGTATCAATGGAAAAAGGGTGAAATTTCCTACAACTCTCATGTACAATGTTTGTTTATACAACATAGGAATGAGAAGTTATAGTGGATCAAACATAGTAAAGATTTTAAAAACACGCACTTGAACCAACCCTAAAATTAACTTGGCACGCAGGGGCTTTGTTGCTGGCACAATAGAGATTAGCACTGTGGCACTGGGTGCATTGTATGGGTGGCAGCTTAAGAGTTAAACTGCAAAGCTTGCCTAACTCTGAAAGTGCCATCAAGTTGGCGAGCACATGGCACATATATATTGTTTCATGGACAAGTTTTTGTATATATTTATATATGACTTTTTTCATGTCTTCCTTTGATATCCTGTCTCACTTATTTTGTCTTGCATAAATATATATCACATGACATAATTTGTTGCCTATATTTTAACTATGAATATTTAATCCATCTTCACAAACAGAGGCATGGCATTGGTTCAACTGATGATGAAGTTATGGTTTGTATGAGTGGGAGGGGGGGGGGCACAGGTCTTACTAATGAGAGAAAAAGGCTGTCAAATGAGGGGGGTGCAGGAGAGGTCTGGTCAACTTGTTTTCGTGATTCTTTCCCACTCAACATATGATTCTCTCTCTCTCAATGTCTTTCTGTGTCTGTCTCTCTCTATGCCTGTCTTTCTGTGTCTGTCTCTCTCTATGCCTGTCTTTCTGTGTGTCTGTATGTCTATCTGTCTGTCTTTCTGTCTGCCTCTGTCTGTCTCTTTTCTCTCTTTCTCTCTCTCTCGCTCTCACTCTCCCTTCCTCCCTCTCATGCTTCCAAATTTTCCTCTTTCACCCTTTTGCAAATTGATTGCCCCTCAAAGCTAAGCCACTGTTCCCAATCACAAAGCATTCAACTATATGAAAAGAGAGTCATCTTCCTAATGACTTCAGTAATTTCCACAAACTATTTAAAGCAAGGAAAGAAGGTCTGAGGCAATTGAGGCACTTAAATAATTAAACTATTGAATCAAGGAATGAATACTAAAGCAGCATCTTGGCACTGGACATCTATCCGAGACTGACGATGATCAAGCAAGTCGTTCCCGTCACACCGTTCACACGGCACCCTACAGCAGCGCCGGGAGAAACGTCATCAATTATGATAAATTTGATTTATTAGATCTACCCGCTGAGGGAAAAACGTGTCCCCGAGGTGCCCGGGATACGCCACCTCACCGAGAGAGCCTGAAGGTGGGATAGGCCCTAGTCTCGTGACGAGGAGGAGAGGCATTCATAATACACATTGCATTTGTACCTACTATCTTAATTATCTGGAATAATGTATTGCACATAAGGGAGCTTAGAGAAATGTAGTGGAACGAACAAACGTTTCTGGAATGCAAAAGGCATACTAGCAAGTGATGTCTGTTACTCAAAAGTTATTTTTTGACATCTGAATTTCATTTTAGGTAACTTTTAGCATTAGCAAGATACAGTGAAACCTTTTCATAAAGACCAACCAAGGGAGACAAGAAAAAGCGGTCTTTATAGGCAGGTGCTCTTTGAAGCCAGGTGCCTATAGTACATGTTTCAATGAGAAACCATTTTCAAGGGGAAACAAAAGAATGTGGTCTTTGAAGACAGGTGGTCACTAAGGCAGGTTTGACTGTAGTACATTTATTTGCCAGCTCCATATCCCTACGACGTGGTTCTACCTCTCTGTGATAAAGTTAAGATTTTCAGCAATTACACAATTAACGTTTCAGACGCGCTTTTCGTGCCACTAAATTTACCTGAGCTGGTTTACTCTCTAATCTAACAGTTCTGCATAAATGAGGGGGAAGAGAGTTTTGGGTGGGGAGAGGAGGGAAGGAGAATGACTGAATAAGAGGTAGAGAGTGGATGGAAAGTTGGTGAGAGAGAGAGAGGTGAAAGATGAACTTCTTGGTTCTATATTGTCCCAAAAATCAGATGGATTTTAGGACAAGTAAACCATTTGCAATTTTCACTAAAAATTGGATTCTATCTACAAGTTTTACCAGCATGACTGCATATTTTAATCACTCCTTTGAAAAGAAAGACTGGAGGAGAGGCTAACCACTTTCCTTCTACATATTATTGAATTACCTCAGAATGCAAGTGGAACTTCATTAAATTAGGTCACAGATTGTGTTTGTAAATGCATTTGTATCGGCGGGGAGGCTTTGGGGGGTAAATCTGAGGGTGATCCCCCGCCCCCCCCCTCCCATCCATCCTATCCCCCACATCCAGATAGGGAGATAATGTCTAAGAAAGAAACCCATAACCATTATATGTCAAAATACATTATTCAAAACAAAAACCAATGGGCAGAAATTGCAGCCTTTGCCATGGAAAGGGTTAAAGTAATCTCTACAAATAGGTGCCACCCCACTCCCCGGCCCCCACCCCCCCCCCCCCCCATCCCCATTCCGGTGCCCCTGGTACATGATAATAAATGCATGTGGTCCACTCGTTCCATACAATTATATGTACATCAATCCATCTCTTTCTTTCTTTCTTTCAGTATGTTTCAATCACTCTCTCTCTCTCTCTCTCTCTCTCTCTCCTTCTCTCTCTCCATCTCATGTCAAACATGTATTTTGAATTAGCAAATGTATACAGGTGAATTATGTTAGAAAGCTAGATTCAATCATGAAAACAAATCTAATATTCATGAGAGATGCAATCTGTGTCATTACAAATTCAATGCATTAAAAATTACATTCCTTCGGATTGTAATTACACGTTGATACACATTTCGTTCCTGTTTTCACGAAGTGACGGTAGTGAGGAAAATCCGCACGCAAATTGAAAGCGATTTTCATTCACTACCGTCACTTTGTGAAAATAGGGACGATTTATGTCAAATATAACTGAATGACACCTGGCTGTGACTAATGATGTATTAAGAATACTGAATTTGATGGCATAATTTAAAAACCCATATCATGAACTACCATGCTCACATGCACAGTTTTGTATTAGCAATATACAATTATTTAACATTTTCCACCTTTGAATAGGAATTTGTAATGATGTATAATCTAAAGTATATCGTCGCTGTTTTCACGAAGTGACGGTAGTGAAAAAAATTGCATTCACTTTGTGTTACGATTTTCCTCACTACCGTCACTTCGTGAAAACAAGGATGATATGTGGGACTGTCATTTTGATCTATGACCTATTTGTACAATATAACCCTTTTCACTGAACAACTGACATTAATGATAGAAGAAGTACCACATGTACAAGCAGTCCATATGACAGGTTGCCAACAAACTTCTTGTTCTGTAGTGTGATCTACAGTAGATGTAGAACTCTTAATTCAGCCAGGATCTATTACAACATTGTTCTTGATTTAGTAGTATACAATAATTGATTACAGTTGTGAAATCAGTGTGTTTGACAAGCTATTGAATGTTAAACCGATTGCCTTTTATTTTCATTTACGGTAGATGGAAATGTATTTTTGTAAATCTATCGTCCATTTGTACATTTTTCATTTATTTTTTTTAAATTGAGAAAATAGAAATGATTGTTAAAAGCGTTTGAATCAAAGTATTTGATTAGGTGTAAAAAAAAATGTATTATCTTGTATTGTGATCTAAGTTAGATGTAGACCTATTCTTTTGATCTACGATCTCTTCTGTACGATATTCTATTTTTTATGAGAACAAATGAATAATAGTTAAAATCAAT